AAAAAGGAAAGCTCTCATTTTCTCAGATGGGGCAGGCTTCTTCTGACAGCAGTATTTATCGTATTTATCTTTTTTTTTTGAGATGGAGTCTCACTCTGTCGCCCAGGCTGGAGTGCAGTGGGGTGATCTCGGCTCACTGCAACCTCGACCCCTGGGGTTCAAGTGATTCTCTTGCCTCAACCTCCCAAGTAGCTGGGATTACAGGGGCACACCACCATGCTAGGTTAATTTTTTTGCAGTTTTAGTAGAAATGGGGTTTTACCATGCTGGCCAGGCTGGTCTCAAACTCCTGACCTCAAATGATCTGCCCGCCTTGGCCTGCCAAAGTGCTGGGATTACAGATGAGAGCCACTGCGCCTGGACCCAATGGCAGTATTTCCTTGTATTTATTAGGCTGTCCATCCCGGGTTAGGACTTGCACCTGGTGATATCTGGAATGACTTTTGATTAGGATGGGCGTGTTTCCTCACTGACTCTGGCCAGGGTCATGATGAAGCAGCCTCCACCCTTGCCATCTGGGATGAGACATTGGCCTCTGTTGTCACCAGCCTCTTCCTGTAGTAACTGCCTCACAGAGACAGAAGCCATCTACAGCATCATTTCCATGTGGGACCTTGCTAACCTGTCCTTTTCTACAAGGACATCAGAACAACAAATTCCAGGAAATGAGAAAATCAGGCAGAGATTCTTAAAAAATTCTAAAATTTGTGTTTTTTACAAAATTGTTTTATTTATTTATTTTTGAGACAGAGTTTCCCTCTTGCTGTCCAGGCTGGAGTGCAGTGGTGCGGTCTCAACTCACCAATACCTCTGCCTCTCGGGTTCAAGTAATTCTCTGGCCTCAGCCTACTGAGTAGCTGGGGTTACAGGCATGCACCACCACACCTGGCTAATTTTGTATTTTTAGTAGAGATGAAGTTTCTTCATGTTGGTCAGGCTGGTCTTGAACTCCCAACCTCAGGTGATCTGCCTGTCTCAGTCTCCCAAAGTTCTGGGATTACAGGCGTGAGCCACCGTGTCCGGCTAAAATCTGTTTATTTTTGAATAAGTAACACATTTGTGTGGTTCAGAATTCAAAAGATACAAAATTATACAGAGTAAAGTTCCCCTCCCAGCTCTGTTCTTCAGCTGGCCCTCCTTGAAGGAAACTGCATCTACATGTGACTACAGATTTGAATGTTTCTGTTGGCCTCACTCTTTCCTCTTTCTGGGTGTTTCTCTTTTCTCCTCCACAGCAACATTCATTTCACTCTGCCCTGACTCCAAACCCTGGTACCTCGCTGCATGCTCTGGACAGGCACCTGGCAAATGTTGGGGATCAGCTGAGAGCTTGTCTGTAATCTAAGAATATTTGTGGAGTCTGGGCTTAGAGCATCTTTGTTTGATAGTGAATTAGATGCATTTTCATTCAGTTATGTTCTTGTTCTTCCAAGAGAAGCCAAGAAGCTTTGATTGTCCCAACAGCCCCCCTCGTACTGTCTTCCTTTCCTAAGCCATCACTTCCATTTGTATTGCTGCCAGTTGAGGATGGTTTAGGGCTCACTCACACATTTTTCAGGGGATGGTTGTGCAAGAAATGTTGATGTTTTCCAATACTTTTTTGGCCTCTTCAATTGTTTCTTCTTTTTTAAATTTTTTTATTTTTTACTTTATATATTTTTCTTTTTTATAGAGACAGGGTCTCGCTATATTGCCCAGGCTGGAGTGCAGTGGCTATTCACAGGCGCGATACCACTACTGATCAGCACGGGAGTTTTGACCTGCTCCGTTTCCGACCTGGGCCGGTTCATCCCTCCTTAGGCAACCTGGTGGTCCCCTGCTTCCGGGATGTCACCATACTGATGCCGAACTTAGTATGGACACCCGATCTGCATAGCGCACTACAGCCCGGAACTCCTGGGCTCAAGTGATCCTCCCACCTCAGCCTCCCGAGTAGCTGGGACTACAGACATGCGCCACTGCATCCAGCCAATTGTTTCTTCTTTTGGCTTGTGCAAGAAAAAATATCTCTACCCCTGTCCTCACGCCCATCAACACACATCCATACATGCACTGGGGCCTCTCTCTGCCCTTCTCTTCTGGAAACTACTGAAAATGAGCAAATAACTGAAAGGCAGACTCCTCTCTTCTGTAGACAGGTGCTTTTCAGCTTTTACGTATCATTGTTTTGAGGTGTCAAGAGTTTTGGAGATTTTTTTCCCCTTTCTCCTTCTCTCTCAAGTCAGGCCCCTCCAGCAGCCCGCCTCTCACCTTGGAAGGTTTGGAGAATTCACCTGCTTTTTCGGCCACTTTCGGTCCACTCTGCTGCTCTCCTTCCTGGTGCATTCTGGAGTCCCCTGGCCGCTCAGAGACCATGGGCCTTGGAGCAGTTCCCTTGACTTCCTCTCTCCTCTGGATGCCTAACTAGCGGCTGGTCAAGAGGCGGCCGCACAGTCCTCTGGGCGGCAGGGGCCAGTGATTAAGTAGCCAGGTCTTTAGCTGATTCCATCCTTGTTTGTCATAACTCTGCTGCAAGTTATTTTGGTCTCTGTGACTTGTGGCAACACCATGATTAGGGTTTGATTACTATCACCAAAGCGACTAAAAGATGAAAATAGAAGCCGCAACAGGAAATAAACAACTGCAAATGAGATATTTTATTCCATATTCCCTGCCAGCAAATGATTAGAATCAAACTCATTCACAATAGTTTGGTGAACTCCTAAACTTTTTTTCTGAAGGGTCAGAATAGTCTGAAACTGTGTATTTGTTGGCCTCCTTTGTGCCTGTGGAAGGAAAAGAAAGAAACTCCCTTTCTAGGCACACCAGCCAGCCTGGAGTCCCTCTACTGCCAGGCTTTCAGCTTCTTTCTTGGAATGGAGAGGGATAAGAATGTGACGGGTGGGGCTATCAGGAAGGTTGGGATGTTCACTGATTCACGGGATGCCAGAGAGCTATAAAGCAGCACCAATCATTTAGCTACTTGCTCAGCACCCCACCCACCTTCGACCTAGGGTAGCAAAATGGAAGAGGAAAGCCATGTAGAGAGGGGTGACACCTGAATTAATACACCTACAATTACACTATATGGGAACATAGCTCTGCAAGTACATGCATGTTCCACCCAGACAAACTGTGATGTCAGACTCCACTCCTGAAACACCCAGGAAACCTACCTGCCCTGTGTGTGCTCTGGTTTCTCATTACAGAGCCTTAGCACTGCTGGCCAGATCTCCAAAAGATTCTTCAGATTCTCCATTTAGCCAAGAAGCTTAATTAGAATTATGACCTCTGCTTTCTCTGCTTATTTAAGTCCTTCCTGTTTCGATGAAGCCTGGTCTGACCACTCTCAAAAAGTGAAGATCTTTTAGGGAGACCCAGAACAGAGAGGGAATGAGACCCTAAAGGGCAGAAAACTTACCCAGAAAACCTCATAAATGCTGCCAAGTGCTGGCCTAACGTGGGATCACTGTTGGCCCAAGTTGCTTAACCAGTGAGTGGCAACGCCCCAGCCTGGTATCAGGTTTTCTACCTCTAGTCTGGTACTCTTTCTAAGCCTTTCCAAGGTGAAAATATGATGCATTTCCCAGACACTTTAAAAATCCCATTTCTGTCTCTTCCATCTTCCCTTGTCTATATAGCCATAGGATCACCCCCTTCTCCATTCTCTCTCTCCTGCGATTTCTTGGCTGTTGTCTTTACAGGGTGCTTCTTAGAATGTTTTATATACACACATAAGGTTTCCATGCCCTTTTCAACAAGCCATATTTTAATTTACAACAAAATTATGATGTTATGCAATTGCGACTTATGTGGCCTTACACAGTAAATGTTCAGAACGGCAGCTTCTGTGCTGTCCAGCAGATTTCGGCACTGCTTGGCATGCTATCTTCCAAGTCAGTGTTAGGATCTCCTTGCCTGGGGATGATCATGTAAGCAATGTTGCTGATTTATTTGGTGGGGTGGAAGAAGGGTCCAAATGACCCTTAAGCCCTTAATGTTGATTTCTAAATATTTATTAAGTACTAATTGTTACTATGTTAAAAATCTTTTTAATTGCTGGAGGGGGGCGGGGTGTGGTGGTTCACGCAGGTAATCCCATCACTTTGGGAGGTGGAAGCAGGTGCATCACCTGAGGTCAGGAGTTGGAGACCAGCCTGACCAACATGGAGAAACCCCTTTGCTACCAAAAAATACAAAAATTAGCCGGGTGTGGTGGCGCGTACCTGTAGTCCCAGCCTCTGCGGAGGCTGAGGTGGGAGAATCGTTTGATCCGGGGAGGCGGAGGCTGCAGTGAGCCGAGACAGAGCCACTGCACTCTAGCCTGGGTAACAGAGTGAGACTCTTTAAAAAAAAAAAAAAAAATTCTTGAAAACCCCCATGAGTTTCATTGCTGGCCTGATCTCACAATTCTCAATGGCTTTTTTAAAAAATCGTATTTTACAGTATATGAGGTGAGGTTAGATCACCATGCGAACTAGTGGTCTCATCAATACTGATGTGTATTTAAATCATTACGTTTCTCAGAACTATCAGCTTTCACGCTGCAAACGCGTTCATGCCCTAGCAATGCCATGCCCGTTTCTATGCAGTAACCCGCCAGCTTGGGTATATGTTTCTTAGAGACCTGGGGTCAAGGAATAAACTCTCTGACCCTAAGCATCTTGAAAGCTACGAGGCCCAGAAACAGGCCCTCCAAGCAAATAAATGCCCTAGGCAGGTCTGCTCGCTGGGTAACCTTCCCGCGCCGGGAGGCAGGGTGGCGGGTGGCGGAGGTCTTCCGGGCCCAGGGAGAAACCTGCCGCTGGCGCGCAGGAGAGCCCCCCTCCCGCTCCCCTTCTCCCGCCCCGCTTCTCCCGCCAGGATGCTGCCCCTCGCAGCTCGTCAGCCGGCCAAATGCATTCCAGAGCTGTGCACAAGACACACTTCTCCAGGCAGTCCTAGAAACCGGAGCCGGGAGAGGAGAGGGCGGGAGGGAGCGCGCGGCCGCCTCTGAGGTCATAATCGCGCTGCCTCCCCGCCCTCGGCGGCTGTTCCCTCCAGCGCACACTTCCCAGGGCCTCGGTCCAGTCCGGTATAAATGTCTTTTAAACCGAGACAGCGCTCTCCTCCCCTTGCCCTCCGACGCAGCCAAGGGATCCGCAGCCAGGGCCTTTAAAACAAAACCAATGAATGAAGCGCTTGGGCGAGCGCGCGCGAGATGGCCACCGCGAAGCCCCGCCAGGTCGAAATCCGGCCACCGACCCGCTCGCTCAGCTCCAAAACTCGCGGCGAAGCCCGCTCGGTGCTCCCTGCGTTTCCAATTTCTCCATGGCTCCGGCCGGAGCTCAGTAGATTCTGGGAGCTTCTCGGCCCCCCACCTCTCTCTTCTCTCCATCGGTACCCCGTCTACAGACCCGGGAGGGGGTGGCGGTGGCGGGGGGTTGGGGACGAAATAGCTTTTAGAAACCCGATCTGTTGTTTGCGAAACACAATCGTTTTTTTTTTTTTTTTTTTTAAAGCGACAGGGTGTCTAGACGGCCACGTGACGAGGCCGGAGCCGGGCGCGCCACTGCGCAGTGGAACCAGCCGAGCAGAGGGCCGGAGGGGGGGGCGGGGGGGCGGGGGGGGGGAGGAGGAGGAGGCGGCGGCGGCGGCGGCTGGGGGCGGGGGAGGGAAGAGGGAGGAAGGGGGAGGGAAGGGGGCGGGGGCGGGAGGCCTTGCGGGAGGCGGCGAGCCCCGGGCACACTCGCTTGCTGCTCGGCGCACGGAAGAGCCTGTCCCCAAGCCGCGCCAGCCGAGCCAGCCGGGCGCCGTGCTCGGTCCGCTCGCCGCGCGGGAGAGAGCTGCCCGAGACAGAGCCAGCCCGTCGGCGCCGAGCCGCCGAGCGCCGGGCCCCAGAGCCCCTGAGTGCGGCGCGGCGAGCCCTTGGCGGCGGCAGAAGGACCCGAGCGCCAGGAGAGGGCGGACGGGGGACAAGGAGGCTCCCGGGCGCGACGAGGAGAGTCTCGGAGGAGGAGGCGCCGAGAGAACACCGGGGCCTCCTGCCGCCGCAGCTGGGTCGAGGCGAGCAGCCCACGCGGGGAGCCCCGGCGACCAACCGCGGCCAGGGGAAGGGACACCGGCGGCCCCCGCATTAGCAAGCAGCTTGTGCCCAGGGGGGCAAGAACGCGCTACCCGCCTGGGGCCCGCCGCCGCCGCCGCGCCGCCCTCCCCTGTGCTGTCAGCCCCACCGGGCTCAGCCGCCGCCGCAGCATCTTCTGTCCCTGCGCCCCCGCCAGCCTCGAGGAAGTCCCCGCTGAGGACCTGAGCCCCCAGGCGCGCAGGAGGGAAGACCAGAGACTCCCCTAAACCACCCAGATGCGCAGGATTGAATCGGTCTAGTCAAAGCTTTCTGTGGATTAAAAAAATACACGATTTTTTTTTTGTTTTTGGCAGAAGAAAAGGAGAGGAAGACCAGCGGGGCTCTGCAAGGAAAAAAGGGGGGTTGTAACTCGTGGATGCGTTTTCCCACCCCCCAAACATCTTGTTATACTTCGTAAACATTTTTTTTTTAAGCCCCAGCTCCAGCCGGACGCCCCCAGACCTCCAAGGTTCGAGGAGGTGGTGTTTTTCATTTGGGGCTTTGCATATTTTGGTTGTTAGGTTTTGAGAGAACCTTCTTATTTCGCCAGACGTCTCATGCGGGGTGAAGTCCACTCGGCCCCCTCCCCTCAGCCTTCGTGTGCACGAAATTCGAGGAGATCCGGTTACTAAGGATATAGAGGAAAAAAATAAATCGCGTGCTTGCTTTTTTTTTTTTTTAATTGCCTGCTTCTCCCCACCCCCAAATTAAGTTGCTTAGCAAGGGGGAAAGAGGCTTTTTCCTTCTTCCAGCAGCCCAGCCGAACGCCTTTCGTTTTTTGCCCCCGCGGATCTTCCATGTAGGAAGCCGAGGCTGGCGAGTCCGACATTCGGGAGCCACTGCGGGGGGGGCTGTTTTTGGGGAGGCGCCGACGGGGGCAGGCTCGGCCGTCCCCAGGGAAGCGGCGGCCGGGTTCCTCCGGGGCGCGCCGGGGCCCGAGAGCCGCGCAGGGCGCGGGCCGCGCGGGGTGGGGCAGCCGGAGCGCAGGCCCCCGATCCCCGGCGGGCGCCCCCGGGCCCCCGCGCGCGCCCCGGCCTCCGGGAGACTGGCGCATGCCACGGAGCGCCCCTCGGGCCGCCGCCGCTACTGCCCGGGCCCCTGCTGCTGCTGCTGTCGCCTGCGCCTGCTGCCCCAACTCGGCGCCCGACTTCTTCATGGTGTGCGGAGGTCATGTTCGCTCCTTAGCCGGCAAACGACTTTTCTCCTCGCCTCCTCGCCCCGCATGTTCAGGACCAAACGATCTGCGCTCGTCCGGCGTCTCTGGAGGAGCCGTGCGCCCGGCGGCGAGGACGAGGAGGAGGGCGCGGGGGGAGGCGGAGGAGGAGGCGAGCTGCGGGGAGAAGGGGCGACGGACAGTCGAGCGCATGGGGCTGGTGGCGGTGGCGCGGGCAGGGCTGGATGCTGCCTGGGCAAGGCGGTCCGAGGTGCCAAAGGTCACCACCATCCCCACCCCCCAGCCACGGGCGCCGGCGCGGCCGGGGGCGCAGAGGCTGATCTGAAGGCGCTCACGCACTCGGTGCTCAAGAAACTGAAGGAGCGGCAGCTGGAGTTGCTGCTCCAGGCCGTGGAGTCCCGCGGCGGGACGCGCACCGCGTGCCTCCTGCTGCCTGGCCGACTGGACTGCAGGCTGGGCCCGGGGGCGCCCGCCAGCGCGCAGCCTGCGCAGCCGCCCTCGTCCTACTCGCTCCCCCTCCTGCTGTGCAAAGTGTTCAGGTGGCCGGATCTCAGGCATTCCTCGGAAGTCAAGAGGCTGTGTTGCTGTGAATCTTACGGGAAGATCAACCCCGAGCTGGTGTGCTGCAACCCCCATCACCTTAGCCGACTCTGCGAACTAGGTAAGAAGTTGCCCGGCCACCCCCAATATTTTCCAGCGCGCCAGTGCTGGAAGAAAAGCCCCTAGGGCAGTGCGTGTGCAGCCACCCCTTCAGGGGGAGTGTACAGCCCCTCCTGGGAGGAGACTTGGTGGGGAAAGTAGAGAAGGGACACGAGGAAACTCAAAGGGCATTCCCTGGGGGTTCCCTGTCAGGTTTTCTCCTGTGTTGCCCCGAAAGGGTCTGTGGGCACTGCTCCTGCACACAGTGTACCAGAAGTGCGGTTAAAAATTAGACGCCTTCATTTCCGGATCAAAAAGGGGGTGCAGAGGGAGGTGGGGGTCACGCCTCCCCGCACCCGGAAAGGCGTTAAGGTGTGTGGCCGAGTTGGATTTGGTCCAAGCCCGCCAAGGAAGGTTGGGAGAAGCGAGCTGTAAAGGCTGGACGGACTCCGCTCCTTTAGTAAATACGGAGAATCACTCGAACACAAGTGGCTCAGATACTACTGTGGCCGTGCAGCCTTGGACTTTTGGGGCAAAGAGGGTTAGGATGGAAGGCCGAACTGGGTATCTCCTTTCAACTCTGCCAGTTCCAGGGTGCTGAGGAACAAACAGCCAGGAGAAGTTGGGTGTCCCCTACTTTTTCCTTTCTTCCGCACAGAGAAGTCTATAGATAGTCGGCCCCCGGCGCCTCGGTGACGTTGTCTCCCCTTATTGCGCTGGGGCCTGGACTTCTCGGCTGAGATCCTGAAACTCCTTCGCTTTTATCCTCTCTGCTTTGTCCGTTCCTTCCTTTGCTCTGTATTTCTGTACACGGAGTGTGTTGTGAGGGTTCACCCCGGGTGTCCGCAGATCCCCCAAGTTCACCAGCACGCTTGGGATGCATCTCCCTAGTGCGCTGGGAATGGGGAGCCCCCGTGTCCCCCGCGCGGCTGCCCAGAGGACCAGCGGGGGCAGAGGTGAATTGCACCCCTGGGGGGCGGGCTGGGGCGGGGAGCCGGTGTTGTTGGGAACTGGGGCTGGAGTCTGCGGACGAGGAGGGGGCACGGTCGCCCCCCGCCCTGTGAACTGTGAAGTGCGCGGCCCCGGCTGAGCCGGTGGTTTCCAGCCGGGCCAGCCGAGCGCGGCGGCGGCGGCCGCAGACGTGGAGGAGCGGAGCGCCGAGGCTGGCGCCAGGCGGCCTCTTTTGTTTATCTGACAGCTAAATATCAAGGCAATCACCGCCTTGCGGCCCTGCCTCCAACCCCCACAGCTAAGACAAACAGTTGGGCTAAAAGAATGCCTCTGTTATCATAAGTTTCTATCTCTTTTTCTCATGGCTGGGCCTTTATTTTTCTCTTGCTTTTTTAATTTCAGAGTCTCCCCCTCCTCCTTACTCCAGATACCCGATGGATTTTCTCAAACCAACTGGTGAGTAGCTGATTTTTAAAAAACCCTTCGGATCGAAGTTAGAAATAGAGCCTGTAGAACCTGGGCTTCTACGTGTAGGCAAAGGCCTGGGAAGGAAGGCGCTAGGCTTGCTTCAGGTCGGTTCTAGGTTTCCTCTGTTGGAAGTTTGGTGAATTTTCCTGTTGTGACTGGCTTTTTGTTTTGTTTTTTCTTTGCAAAGACCTTTTCTTGATATGCTTTACGTTTTGTTCCTTTTTCATGTATTTGCACTCTGTGGCTGGGGGACTCGGCTTTAACACGTGGATGCTTTTAGTTCAGAAAGAAGTATTTTGGGAACCAAATAGGACTGGTTGGTGGGGAAAGCTTGGAGACTTCGTGAGTGCCGGAGCATCTGGAAAGGGTGATTAGATGGATGGGAAGACATTTTTAAAAGGTGCAAAGAATACTTTGGTCTGGAGTAGACACTAGAACATTTCAGTAGAGGCTACAGCCAGTTAAAGAAGAGTGGGTTCCCCCTGCCCCAGTCACTTGCAAGTCACCCTCTCCCGGGGATTTCTCAGTATGCTCCGTAGGGACCATCAAAATTTTGAGCATAGCTCTGCCTGTCTGTTGCTTTGTCACTGGCTGGCATGGAGCCAGGGCAGCCCATTTGAGACTGGCACCAGCCCTGTTGTGGTTGTCTGCATTCAACTTCTGGCAGCAGCAGCACAGGTGTTCCTCCTCCGGACCTCACGGTGCTGGGGACAGGGTCAGCAAAATGAACTTGGGGGCGACAACAAGGATGAGCCCCAATTCCTGGCACTCCTTCTTACAGTAGGAGATAGATCTATTTGCTAAAAGTACAGGCTGTATGTAACCTTGGTTTTTGTGCCCTGTATACTGGTGCCTGTAAAAACATTAATACTTGGGACATTTTTATTTTGCCAAGGTTCTGGGAGAAGGAAAAGTGAAGGGTTGGGCACCATTTAGCTCCTGGAATTCTGCAGTTCCTTCCGCCTCATGTGTTTTGGCTGTTGGGCTTTTCCCCCCACTAATTAAAAGTTTTGCTGGGGCGTTGTCATAAATTAAATACTTTAATGAACGTGTAACCGAAGCCCATACTCTGCAGCCAACCCTCCTGGGACTCCACCAGCTCCCTCAAGTTGGGAAGGCGTTCCTGCTTGCCTGGTGCCCGTTCTAATAAGTGGCCCACAAAGCATGTGATATTTTGCTTTCGATTTACAAAACACCAGATAAATGGTTATTAATGAGGAGATACCCAGCTCTCTGTATTTGTAACAGAGGTTCACTGGAATTACCAAGCTCTGTTTTCCTAAAGACTGTAACTTGATTGGGTTTTGGCTGAAAGAGTTAAGAATTCTTTTTATTAAGTTAGTTTTCCAAGGGGCCACCTCTGACCTGTTTTTGTTTTTCCTTCCATATTTTTCAAATTTGGAGGTTTTCCTTAAAAGAGAGAGAACAGTGACCTTAGCCCCAGGGGTAAAGACCAGTGGGGGTAAATGTTCCCAGAAACCTCCAAAACGCATAGAAAAGAAAGGCCATGTTCCCTTTGGTTTCCTGCAAAGACACTGGGATAAATCTGTTCTCAGGATGTAAGCAGTCCTTCTGCCAGGCCCGGACCTCATTTTCGGGCGAGTGGAGTGATCTATTTATTCATTAGCAAGTGTTGACATTAGGTAGCAAAATGTGTGTAAACAGAGAAGCCACAGAGACAGGAATGTGCCATTTCCAAGGGGGAGAAAAGTTCTCCAGATCAGCCAATAGGAAGTGATTAACCTGTCGATCGGACACTAAGACAGCTGGTTACTCACCCAAAATGTTTTGTTGAAAATAGAACAAAAAAAGAAATGAGAAAAGGCGCCGTTGTGTAAGAATTTAGCATCAATAATAGACAAAGCCCCCTGGAGGGGAATTGTCCGGCCTCATTGGAGGACCGCCAGGTCTGGGGGTGGAACACACCCCCCTCCCACAGGTCTGAGGCTGGTTTTGCCAGCTGCTGTGGCCAGGGGCATTGAGGTCAGACCACAGATGGGCGCTGACCCAGGTTTTCATCCCTATCTGGCGTGTGGGATAATGTTTGGCCCAGGAATCTAGATGGACCATTTACATTCTTCAGTTTCTAAGTTCTAGGTTGAATTTTTGGTCTTGGGTTACTAGGTGAAACAGGCACAAAGTTTTACAGTGGACAGCTGTTAAAATCTTAACCAGTTGCACAATTAAAGGAATACGTCCTGTGAAGTCTCCATCTTGGAAAAAGGTGATGGGAATGGGGCTGGGTCCCGGTACCCCTGCACCCTTTGGAGATGCAGAGGCCTCAAAGCTGGAAGCTCCATTTTGCTGTAGTTGAAGGAAGCCACTCCACCCAGCCTCGGGGAGGTCTGGACTTGAGACACCTAAGTGCTGTGGTTTAACCAGCAGAGCCATCTTTGAAAGAGTGTTCATGTAACTGAACCTAGGGCAAGTCGGTTGTGACTTGTGGCTGTCAGAAGTCAAAAAGACACCCCCACCTTAGTATCCCACAAGAAATCAGAATTTGCTGTTTAAAACCAGATCTCGGGAATAGCTGTGTGGGTTCTGCGTCCAGTGTTCCATTGTATCTGATGGTCTGAAAGGTTTGAAGAATGGCTGGCCTTGGAGGTTGCTGGGTGAGCTCTTCGGGGACCCAGGTGGCCAGTGTCCATTGGCAGATCCAGCCTCCAAATCTAGGTTGTAAGTCTGGCATCTTGACCTGAGATCTGGCACTGCATTTGCCTCTTAACTCAGATTCCTCTTAACTTTTCTAGGCCTCTTTTAATCAGCAATGAAAGAGAGTAGAACATTCATTCATTCATTGGTTCATTTATTCATGTTACAGACACGATGATGTGCCCACCTAGAAATCTGAGGATTCTGATACAGTGCGGTGTTCTTCTGTAACCAGGGTTCATTTGAGTTCTGGGTAGAGTGAACTACCTGGGGCAAAGCTGGGAACCTTGGAATATACTAGTGGTGTAGTTGGTGGGGAGGGGTTCCTCTGTCTTTACCAGTACTTTAGAAGCTCAGAACACAGTTGCTGAGACTATGGTGGGACTCCCAGCTCCCTTACTTTGTGCTTATGGGTCGGATTTTCAAAGACTGTTGGAGCCGCTCAGTGAAAGGAATGAGTCTTTTTCTCTCTCGGAACCTAGCACTTACCAAGGGCTTGGTAATATTTAGTGTTGCATGAGTCAGGAGTGGCCTAGAGCTTCTGTCTGCCAGCCATTCTGGGCTCTAGTGAAGAGATGACACAGGCCTAAGGTGAGACCCTCAATTTAGAGATGTGTCTAATGCAGAGCTTTTTTGTGGGTGAGAGATGGAGGTATGGCTCCTTGATTCTTGAGGCCAGTCTGGATGGCCAAGCCACCTCCAGGAAAGAGGGCAGGGACTCCATGGCCCTGCCTGGGAAGTGAGAGCTATGGGAATAGGGGTTGGACTCTTTGGGGATAGCCTGGCTCACTGGGTGGCCCTTTGAGCGAGTCAGTGACGCCTCAGTTTCCCTGGGTGCCTGTGGAACAGGTATACTTGGCTTCTTCACAGGGGTGGCAGGGAGGCCTAATTAACGTTTGTAAATCCCTCCTGAGATCAAAGCCACTGCAGAAGGGCAGAGCACCATTTCATAAAAACGCTTGTGATTGCCTGCATGGAGCTGGCTTACCTTTGATCTGAGATGGGCTGACACCCTGAATGTGGTCCCAGCTCTGCTCTGAGATGTCTGGCTTTTCCTTTGAAACACACCTTGCTCCTGGGATTCTGCCAGCCAAAGGTGAGGGGAGTGGCTTTGGATAAGTCATCATGTTTAATGTGGGGTGTCTTCTATCTGGCGGGGGGTAGGTGGAGGAGAGGGTTGAGAAGCCTGTCTCTAGAAAATGTTGAAGGCCATCAAAATGGTTTAGAAAGTGCAGGGTACACACCATTTAACAAGTAACTCCATTTCCTGCCTGCCCCTATTGTTTTCTGTTTGATTAAGTATATCCTGTAGAACTGTATATTCCTGTTAGGAATTAGACTCTATCCTGATAAAATCAGATTACACAGAGTCTTCTTTCTTCCCTGCCCATCTCGGCCATTCCTACCCCCACTCCTGCCTCCACTTCTGCCTCTCCCCTGCTGAGGAGAGTTTTTGAAAAGTTGTCCTTCCAGCCTGGAGAATGTGGGAGAGGGAGTGACCCTGAGTTAGAGAGAGAACCTTAGCATTAAAGGGGGCAGACAGCAGAAACCCAGAGATGATTTGGGGTATGCGTTGGCCACTAGAGGATTCCCATGGGCTGCTGGCCCCTGGCTGCTCTTTTTTCTGGCCTTCCTGATTGCCAGCATGGCCAAGTGGTTCCAGTTGGAAACCTACAGGGAGATTGTCCTAGTGGCCTGGGGTAGGAGGCTGGTTCCTGCGCGATCCAACCTGTTGTGTTTGCTGCGGACCTGGGCAGCCTCGTCCTTAGCCCGGCTCTCTACTAGGACTTCAGGAAGTTTGGCGCTGTCAGTGGTGCATGACAAGCTTACAGGGTCTTGTATATTTGTGTTTCATGGGACTAATTAGTTGTGGTTCATGGACATTATTTTTTGCTTTAATTGCTTGGAGGGCGGTTGTGGAGTCTCTGTTTCTCAGCTGGAATTGTCATTATCCTCATTAATGGTGAGGTCACTGTGCTGAGTACCTGAGGGTGACAGAAAAGTTAAAGAGAAGCTTCTAGTCTAGTTAAGGGCAGATGCAATCTAAAGGTAAAAGTCAGGGAGGAAACTCCAAGTGCTGGGTGCCAGAAAGGTTTTATAGGAACTGAGGGCAGAGAGCCTTGCAGGTCTGGGGTTGCCTGGGAAAGTTTCCAGGGATGAGGGGTTTGGACTAGCCTGGAAGAGGTAGAACATTTCCCCCCGGGCTGGGAGCCTTGCTGAGAATGTTCTCTGTCTTGATCTGGTGGTGGTTACACAGGTGTATACATGAGTAACGTTCATGTGTCTACTTGGGATTTGTATACTTTGTTATACTTAAGTTACTCCTCAATTAAAAAGGGGAAAGAAGTTGCTGCAGTCTAACACCAATCTTGTGAATGTTCTCAAGAACTGGGAAACCTGTCTTTTTTTTTTTTTGAGATGGAGTTTTGCTCTTGTTGCCCAGGTTGGAGTGCAATGGAGCAATCTCGGTTCACCGCAACCTCCTGCTTCAGCCTCCTGAGTAGCTGGGATTACAGGCATTTGCCACCATGCCTGGCTAATTTTGTATTTTTATTAGAGCCAGGGTTTTTCCATTTTGGTCAGGCTGGTTTCAAACTCCCGACCTCAGGTGATCCGCCTGCCTCAGCCTCCCAGAGTGCTGGGATTACAGGTGTGAGCCACCACACTTAGCCTGGGGAACCTGTCTTTAAAAGGATGAAGGCAGAGAGGACATGGGCTCCAAGGAGGGAGGCTTTTGCCCTTGATGAGGGATGACAGAGCAACCAGGGTTGAGAAAGTCTAACCCCAACCTCCTGTGACCTTGGGAACCACCTGGTGGTATCCTCAATGGGGGACTGGCAATGCAAGAGAAATTCCAGCCAGTCTGACTGAGCCTGACTCGAGTAATGATTAACTGGCTGCCTGGAGCCCAGACGGGTGACAAGGTGCTGTGGTCTGTCTTATGATGGGCAGCGAAGCCTGAGTAGACCATTAATAATCAGCATCGAGGCTGAGAGTCAGCTTTTTGGAATGTGTGGTTTGTCTTTCATGCTGCTTAGAATGTGCTTAAAGATGGATCTTGGTGTTTTTATTTGTGTATTTATTTCCTTCTCTCCCCTTTTCAAATCCACAGCAGACTGTCCAGATGCTGTGCCTTCCTCCGCTGAAACAGGGGGAACGAATTATCTGGCCCCTGGGGGGCTTTCAGGTAAGATGCTTTCTCTCATTTTCCTGGTAGTTCCAAGGTTTCTTGAAATTGCTAGAGACTGGAGGAATGGGGGTGGCCTTCCGCCACCTCAGCTGGTCTGGACTTCATTCTGATTTTTATGTGCCTTAAGCTGGGTGCATCGGTGGTGACATTGTGATGCCCTTCAGCTCCTTACCCTGCAGTCCTTTATGAGCCAGGACTCTGGGTCTGTTCCATGGACAGGGAGACAGGAGCTAGCTGGGGACAGACCGCTTTGGTGTGTGAAGTGTTTCCCAGTGATTTTTTGAAGCAGCTCCTGGCTGGAGGGGCTTCAGCTTGGTGGCTTTGGTGTCATTAACTCATGCATTTGAGCTGTTTTTTGCATTCCCCTTGGCACATGGGGAATGTAAAGGGAATGGACCTGTCTTTAAGGAACTTGTTGAAGACAGATCCCAAGTGTACGATGGGGTTTCAGAGTAGATCTGAGGCTTCCCTCCTAGTTCTGATTCCAAGCCCAGCTTGCTGCAGGATGTTGTAGCACATGTCCCGGGCTAGGAGCACCAGGGTGGGAGCACCGCCGACAGTAGGAGCTATAACTGTCCCGCAGTGGGACGGGCTTTTCTCAGGGTCCACAGGTGTGTGTCAAGGCTTGGAATGCCAGTGCTGGGGGTCATGGGGCTGGCTGAGAGGCAGCGGGTCACCAGAGAATTGTCCTCAGGACGTGAAAAGACACTAATACTTAGAGAAACTTACTGGCAATGTACATGGGATGCATTTCATGTTTTCTGAAGAAATCCTATTTCTACCTGTTTTTCCATCCCCATCACATGTCATCACTAGATTTTTCTTAGTTTTCTTAAAAACAAAGAAATGCCAGCAGAGTTTTGGGCATTTGGCATTTCTTTGCCTGTAGGATCACGTGGTAGCAGCAGGAATAGAAGCTGTGCCAGGTTCGTGGTGTGTTCTCTTTTGTGAGGTGCACCGTCTTTTGTGGGGTGCCTGCTTTGACTGCTTGGTGAAGTGTTTAATCCATGGCTGGCCCAGGAGAAGTGCATTCCAGACGGTTCCCTCCCTAGTGCTCCTCTCCAGGAACTGAGCTTGCTGAGAAAGTCTTTAGGGAGACCCTTGTTTGTTTTCATTTCAATGCAATATATATTCTGACTATTATCTGAGGGTATTGTTTACTCAAAGCTTCTAGTGAGAATTGGGCAGGAAAAAGAGGGACATAGAGAGGGGAGGGGCTTCAGGCAGGAGGGTGCGACTGGACAGAGAGGCCTCGTGGAGGGAGAACAGGCAGCAGTGTGTGAGCTACATCTTCTCTGCTTTCTAAGGCTGAGAGAATTCTTGAAAGAAAGAAGGCCAATGAGAGGAAAGGGTCTCAGCAGAATAACACATTCAGGATGTTGTTAGATGGTTTTATTTTTTAAACCCTGAATATACAGGGAGGAGCCCCAGCCCCTCCAAACCACATGAAATAAGCAAGGGAAGTGGCAGCTTTCGAAAGGTTTGTGTTATTGATAACATCTTGTCTGTCTCCCTGGCTGGAGGAAATGACGACACCAGGCTGAGATGCCAGCCTGAGCGCCTCCTCACCCGCCCTGCCATGTGACCTGTGAAGCCCTCATGAGATGGGTGGTCTTTTTTTTTTTGAGATAATCTCACTGTCGCTCACTGTCGTTCAGGCTGGAGTGCAATGGCTCAGCTCACTGCAACCTCTGCCTCCTGGGTTCAAGCAATTCTCCTGCCTCAGCCTCCCAAGTAGCTGAGATTACAGGCATCTGCCACCACACCTAGCTAATTTTTTGTATTTTTAGTAGAGATGGGGTTTCGCCATGTTGGCCAGGCTGGTCTCAAACCCCTGACCTCAGGTGATCCACCTACCTCAGCCTCCCAAAGTGCTGGAATTACAAGCGTGACCCACCGTGCCCAAAGATGGATGAGCTTTTTGTTCCCCAAAGCTCTTCCAGTCCTAGAAAGAAACTAGGGGTAAAATAACTCCTTCCCTTCACTCTTCAGGTAATTGCAGACATAGAGATTCGTAAGGGGCTGCCAGGAAGGCACAGTGACTCTCTGAGGGGCAGTGTGGCTTAACAAGACTGCAGAAAGAAAAAAGAGGGGGGCCTCCACATGGAAAGAGCATTTATTCTGAATTTCATCTCTTGACTGACTAATTCCGAAGGCTTCAGAGTTGGAGCTTTTTCTTCTTTCTGTCCAGAGTTGGAGCAGTGTATTCCTAATGGACCATGGTGGGGAGGATAGGTTGGAGACAGTGTTTTGGGGGTTGATGTCACTGGTTTGGGGCATCTGGAGGGGAGGTGATGGGCATGAGAAAGCCCAGAGCTGTCCTCTTTGTAGTCAGAATGCCTTCCAAAAGGGAACTTTATTGGACCCAGCCCAAGGCAGAGAGTTTTGTAAATGGAGAAAGCCCAAACCTCCTGCTTTTCAAGAAGTGGATCATCCCATGGGGGGTGGCCTGGGTGTGCCTGCCTTGCTGAGGATGAGGCCAGTGGCAGGGTTGGATGTGGCAGGGCTGGATGAGGGGAGGGGCATAGCCAGATGCTGAGGTTGGGGGTGGGAGCCCCGCAGCAATGTGGGGAGCGGTGAAAACGCCTGCCAGGAGTTTCTCCCTCCTCCTCCTCCTTGAAATAACCTCTCTGAGCCTCTTTCACAGGCCCTGTGTGCTGTTTTCCTTCCTGTCCTGCCCTGGCTGAGAGCAGGCTAAATGAATGGGGCTCAGTTTAGGGTGGGAGGAAGGTCGGCAGCAGGAGCCAGGGCTTGATTCTCTTGGCAAGGGAAGAAGGGAAAGAAAAAACAGCCGAATGTGAAAATGTGGTGCCTCAGAGGTGGGGGTGGGGTGTGCTCAGAGGCCTGCCCCCTCCTGAAATGCAGGGGTGACTCCAAGGCTGGCCCTTCCCTTTCCTGCGCCCTTGCAAGCTGCCTGGGAGGAAGGAGAGTGGGTGGGTAGGAGCCCGGGGGGCGGGGCTGTTGGCTGCAGGTTGGAATTCCAGCATTACAGCTTTGTTTTGGGGGATTGGAGGAGGGTAGATGACAGCCCTGGTCCTTAGGGACTTGCAGTGAAACACACCCCACCCCTGCAAGTTTCCTCAGTCTGGGAAAACGGGACATTTTTAGAAGGCAGTGACTTGCTTCCAGGAGATTGTACTTTCATTTTTGACAGCTGGCTCTCTGAGACAGATGGATTGCTGGGTGCAGGCGTGTGTGTGTGTGTGTGTGTGTGTGTGTGTGAGTGGGTGGGTGTTGCCGCAGATGTACAGATAGACTATCCCGTGCCCAAACACATGAGAGTGCAGATGCCCCCAGGCAGGCTCTGGGATAGGCTGGGGTCCCTGTCACCTGGGTGGGGTTAGTGTCACCATGGCCTCTCCAAGAGTTTTGGACTTGGGTGTGGAGTTTGTGGATTGATTCTGCATTGTGATTTGGCAGCCTGTGCCCGGCCCTCTAGGGTGGGTGTCTTTTGGAAGGTGTGCAACCCCAAAACAGGTCTTTGCTGCTGCTTGGACATGGATGTGTCATGGCTCAGGAAGATCACCTGGGAGAGGTCTCATGTAGCTGGGAAGCCTCTGGGCTCAGCTCTGTGGTGGAAATGAAAAGGATTCGTTCTGCTCCCAGAGCTTCCTGGGGGTCACTGGGAATGCAAAGCGTGTGTTGGAAGCTGCATCTTTGCAGCCTCCATCTGGAGTTTCTGTCTGGGGCTTTCATTTTGCCTGTCTGCTGTCCTGGTTTGGGTGGGTCGAGGGAGCAGCATCTCCCGTGTGAGTTCTAGGTTATTCAGCTTCGGACTCATCCTCTAGGCTCCTCCTTTATAGATGAATGTCTGGAGCTAGCTGGGCCTCAGCCATGTGGACCTCCCCAGTTGGGGTAGGGATTGGAAGCCAGCAACCACTTGTAGTTATTTAAACTTCAAAAGAAGTGCTCCCATGGATCTCAAGGAGGGAGTTAGGAGGCGGTGGAGACAGAAGTGGTCACGTGTCCTGGGAAACCTCATCTCTTGGCTGTGCGAAGTCATGCTTGTTGGAGAGACACGGCACCATACCTCCAACCCAAGGGTGGCCAGCTCCTTTGCTAAGGTCTTAAATTCATATGTTCCCAAGTCTGGGGGATGGGAGTGTCCTTGAGTCAGTATCCATTTGGCATCCAAGAATGTTCCTCCTCTTTGATCCCTGCTGGCATCTGTCATGGTCTCACAGGAGAGCCTTCAGAAATACCTAGATAATCTGAAAATGCGCCCCTGGCTCAGTCCACAGTTGACTTGGGCTCAAACCAAGTAGCTTAGGAAACATTGCTCCATCCTGTTTTAAGGAAAGTTATTCAGCTGCACGTGAACAATTATTCATTGTCTGGCTTGGAATTGTGATGGTGGGTGCCTGCTGCTCTGGTTTTAAATGTAACCTCATCTTGCCTGGCAACAAAACAGCTCATGTTTCACGGGGGTCTCTAATGCCATTGTGGAGTGAGGGCAGAGGGCGCAGGTTGAGCTCACAGGCACGGGGGGCCTTTCACCCACATGCTCCTGAGCGTGGATTTTGGGAGACTCAGGTGGACAGGGGCAGTGACCATGAGCGAGCTCCTTCCTTCCCATCCCCTTAGTACCTTGCAGGTCACTGTGAGAAATGACAGTCTGGAATTGTAGGGATACCTTCTGCCTCTCCTTAAATACCTGCCAACAGGATGATTCAGAGCTAGGGTGGACTCACCCGGTGCACACCCACACCCTGGTGAAGACCAGTCCTGGACGCAGCCTCTTCTGCAGTGCCGCAGGTCATGCACTTCCCCCTGGAGAAGGGCTTACTGATAAAACCCCTTTTGTCCTGGAAAGAATGAGGCAGTCAGGCAGGGGTTAAATACAGAGTGACAGCATTGAAAATCTCTGGAGCAAATTTGGGCTGCTCTGCCGGCCAGACAAGATGGGCTGCTGCCTCACGCATCCTGTCCCCAGGCAGAACTGGGCCAGCAGAGGGGGAGGGGACCAGGCAAAGGCCAGGCACGCTGATTACCCCTCA